TTCATGAAATATTGGATTAATTTGATGACATTATTAACCCTTTTTTTCTTTTCGTTTATTTTCTTTTTAATACAATTTTGGTCGATATACTTTTGATTTTAGTTCATTTTAGTCTATGTACTTTAAAAACGTTTATTTTAGTCTCGTACTTTCAATTATTGTTCATTTTAGTATTTATATTTTCAAAACTTTCATTTTGGTTACTGTATTTTTAAAAGTGACAAAGCAAAATTCTAACACAAATTTTATAAACAATATAAACTCTTTAACACAAATTTATGCATAGCTACATTTTAAGAAATTTAGTGAGTGAAATTATGATCGAAAGAAATGAGACAAATAAAACTAAAGATGCAAAAATGGTAACTTTTAAAAGTATGCACGTTTTGAAATTACAAGAACCAAAATAAATCAATGTCGATCAAAATAATATTTAATCATTTTAAAAACTCAATTTACCCTCTTGTCTTTCTTAGTTAAGTTCTATTTTCAAGAATTCCATTTCTAAACCTTTCCTATGTTTTTTTCAACATCTGTTCTCTGCTACCTTGTTTGGTTTTTCAAATTGACGAGTTGTTGATGAATTTCAAATAATAATGTTTCAAAAATTAAGTGAAAAAATATATTAGGTAATTGTTTTTTGAATTTTCTTTGACAGAGAGAAATATTTTTAAGAACAATTAATGAATTTGTACCTCCTTTGAGAGAATATTGGTCTTGTAGATAGTGAATTCAAGTGAAACGATTAAAACACAACTTGAAAATATTTTTGTAAAGAAAATTGAGAGGCTATTTTGTAAAATAATTTCCTTTCATTTTTGCTATCAATGCATCAATTTTTATGTTAGATTGAAATATCGATATCTCGAAGAAAATTTAATACCCTAATTTTATGTTTATATATACAAAAATTGGGACAAACTACTTGACAAACTATCTCATTTTTCAATCTATTTTGTATTCTACACGATCATAGATTTAATGTCCTTTTTTCTTATACAAAAATATTTTGATTGAAATAAGTTGATATATACATTATTAAGCATAGCTTAGCAGTAATTGATATATGTCTCAAATCAAGAGATTGTAAGTTCAATTCCCAACCCATATATTGTACTAAAAAGAAAACAAATTAAATTTGAAAAGATATAGACGTTGACCAACTGCCTTAAACATTAGGAACGAAGATTATATATATATATATATATATATATATATATATATATATAAAGCTTAATATTTACGTCTTATCATGTACTTCAGCGATAGTCTTATTTTTCTAAAATTTGGAAAATCACCTCTATCTCATTTTTCAATCCATTTTTAATTTCATATCCCAAAATTTAATCCTCTTTTTAAGAAGATTTTTTATCAAAACAAATCAATACATTAACCATACATTTTCAAAAATTTAAAAGAATATAAATGAAATTAAAAAGTGTACATACATATATTTTAGTACAAATTAAAAAGTATATTAAACATTAGAAATCAATCTATATAGTTGACGCAGTATTTAGATCTCCCCGTATGAAACATAAATTAAAAAAGAAAAAAAGGAGTTCAAACCCATGATAATCAGGTACCTTAAAATTAATTTCTATGTATTTTTCGATACTAAATATTATAGGGTCAGATCACAGTTGCTATGTGAGATTAGTTTAGGGATGTGTAAGCTAGTCCAGATACTCACGAATAAAAAAAAGATTGATGTATGGATATTCTTGTCTCTACTTTCATTATTTCAATCCCACAATCTTTTTTGAATTATATATATATATATGTGTGTGTATATATGTATATATGTATATTTCGACACATGCATGAAATGAATATTAATTAGAAAGGACATAGACAAAGTTATAAATGGAATTAAGTTGTAAGAATTGACAACCTCAATAGTTTTGTTGGCATTTTGGATAATATGGCAAAGAAAATAAATAGGAAGGATCGAAATGAATGTAACGTTTTACATTTTGTCACAAATGAAACCTTTTTAATTTTCTTTCAAAATGTTTTTTTTTTTTTGAATTTGGAACCAGAATATTNAAAAAAGGAAGAAAGACAAAGATTTGATTGATTCCCACTTTTAATGTTTTGGCTGACCCAAAAAAAAAAAATCAATTTGATAGGTAATATGAATTGAATTTTACCTCAACTATCCATAACGTTGGAATTTGAAGTTTTCGAGAGTTTTTTTTATATATTTACCCACTAATTTCAACGTAAAAGGTAAAATCTTTTAGGGTAAATTGTAAAAACCACCCCTGAACTATAATAGTTGTTGTAAATATACCCACAAACTTTTAATTGCAAAAATTAAACCTCCAACTTAAATAATGGTTTAAATTAAACCTCTATGTTAGTTAGGTTAACGTTCCGTTAAGTCCTCATTTAAAAAACAAAGTGATGTTTTAAAAAATAAAATAAAACCCTTCATTACGTTACAGAATCATGCATAACAAACACAATCTTTTCGATAGGGAGAGAAAACGAAGAGTTTTCATGATTTCTAGTAGAAGACAAAGACAAAATCGATTTTAAACAAGATCACTACTTGAATTCTAGTTTCAATCATAATATATATGCTCGACTTGGGAGTGTTCACTGGTAAGTAATCAACTTGAACAACAAGAATCGTGCATAAACAATGTCGTGACGTCGATAAACAAAAACTAATTTTGTGAGGTTTCTTCTATAAAAATTATATAAAAAAAACAGTAGTTTCATCTATTTCCACGTATGAACCTCCATAAGTGAACGCACAAAAAAAATTCAGCAACCTTCCATCTCCATTTTTGCTATAATATCATGTGACTTAACAATAAAATTGAGAAGGAAAAGATAAAAACTCGGCCACGTTCAAAACTCTACCACCAAACTTATGAAAAGGAAAAAATTTAAGAGGATGATACTCGATTCGATGCTGTATTACTTACCATTGAACACTCCCAAGCGACAATACATATTATGATTGAAATTGGAATCCAAGAAATCTTGAAAAAAAAAATTGTTTGTTAAGTAGTGATTTTGTAACTGAAGGACTTTATTTTATTTTTTAAAACATCCGTTTGTTTTTTAAAGGAGAACTTAACGGAAGGTTAACTACTAGAGAGAGGTTTAATTTAAACCACTATTTAAGTCAGAAGGTTTAATTTTTACCATTAAAAGTTCGTGGGTGTATTTGCAACAACTATTATAGTTTAGGGTGGTTTTTGCAATTTACCCAATCTTTTAAATTACTTGCTAATTTTAATGAAAATAATCCTAACAAATATTAACATGAGCTCAGCGGGATAGTAATTAGCTTTTGTCCAATGAATAAAAGTAAATCATAGTAAATATTTATATAAGAATTAACCATTGAATAACCCCATATAGAGGTACCAATTTAAACAAAAATCTAGTTCCGGTTTTTGTTCTTAAGAGAAGATAATTTGATAATATAATAAATAAATTTTATAATTGTATATTTGAGAAAATATTAAAGTTGAAAATGAAATTTATATTAATATTAATTACTTTTCAAAAACTCTTATATTGATATGAATTCTACCTAATAACATACAAAAATTAATAAATATATAATAAAATTAAAAATAAAAATATTAAATTAATTTTTTAAAAAATCTATTATATAAATACAAATTATATTAGATTAATGTATAAATTATATGAATATTCATAAGGACATTTTCGAGAAATTATATAAATTTAGAACATAACAAACGTGGCTATTCAGATATTTCCAGACATTTATATATTTTCCTACAAAACAAATTTAGCCATCTAAAAATGCCGGACATCTAAAATTTTGGATATCGAAAATTCCAGACATCTAAAAATATCAGTCATCTACATTTCCAACAAACAAACGGACCCTAAAGCAAAGAAAACTGAAAACAAACGAAAGAATATATCAGTAAAGAGGTATGGTTTTCAAAGTAATAACATTATTATCAAGCAAAGGAACTTTCTATTTAGTCTCATAATTTAAAATATTCCTAATTTCAAAATATTCAAAGTATGTTTATTTAGTTTTTATATTTTTAAAGAGATCTAAATAGATGTTTAAACTTATTTAATCTTAGGTCTAATAGATTCCAATGGTTAATTATTTCGCATTTATACCAATCTACTGCTAAAATTGATTAAAATAAGTCTATCATCTATTTTATTTAAATCATTATCATGAAAATGTTAACCATACAAATACTTAATTATTAGGCACAAAATTGAAGGCCAAAGATCTAAAGTTCAAAAGTTGTGTATTTAACTCTCTTTGTACTGCCAAAGCAAACATAGCTCAGCCGTAATTGACATATATCTCCAACCAAGAGGTTGTGAGTTTGAATCCCCTCCTCGATAATACTAAAAAAAAGAAAAAAAAAACTCTCTTTACCATATAACCTAATGTTGAACTAATTAGGTTAACAACAAGAATACACATTCAACACAAAGTTAAAATTTAAGTATGCGATATTCTTTCTTTTTGGTTAAAACACTATTTTAGTGTCTATATTTAAGTTTTGGTTCATTTTGGACCCTATACTGTCAAAATGTTTGTTTTGGTTCTTGAACCTTCAACTTTAATTTATTTTAGTCCTAAAAATATAATGTCATGTTAAAATTGTGATATAAAATATAGGACCAAAAATAAAATTAAATGACAAAAATGATAAAGTTGAAAATACAAAAACTAAATAACTGAGAAGTTTTCCATTTTGGTCTTTTGTCTAGGACCCACTAGAATGAAGGGAAGAAAAAAAAAACCCAAACTTGGTCGCTTGTCTTCTCTTCTGCATCATTGTGGTTTTACAAAACAGAATGACACACAAAACAACCATATTACACAAAATATTTATGTTCATGATGAGAATCCATGTCGTTTTAGTGTTTTGTTTAGCCAAAATTCAAGCTCTCCTTTGGTTGATAACACGATCACAATCTGTTTCACCTCTGCTAAATATAGAAACCAGATGTGAAGAATTTGTTAGACAATGGAGCGAGTCTCCCTCTCCCTCTCCCTCTCGCTGTTTCTCTCTGTGGATGATCTGTTGCGTTCTTCTCCATGGCCAATCCCCAAATATGCCAATGGCAAAACTGATTGGATTCCACAGATTGATTGGTTGATTAATAGCCTGTAAAAACTAACAAAGAAACCTGAATCAATTTATGAAATCCAACGAAATGA